TCACACACACACACACACACACACCTCTCCCTTAGGGAAAGACTTGTTAAGTTTCAGTCCAGAACTTAAATGCTTAAATGTTATCTGGCCTACTATAAATCAAAGAACCTGGTGCTTTGCTTGGCTTTCCTCTAAAGGGTCATATTAAAGCATCTTCATTCTGTCACCTCTTTCTGCCTCATCTGCCCCTGCAATCCTCTGGCTCTTGTGAGTCATTCCTAATTGTTTAAAAGTCTTTTATCTTGGCATATAAATCTAACCTGTTCCGATTCCTGCCCACATTGCTCCCTGAGCCTCTTTCCTTACCTGCTATTGAGGAGACTTTGCCACACCTCCCTGCACTTTCCAATAGCTGTCCATTATCAATATTAGTTAGCTTGATTTAATCCTTAATTGGTGCCAGCAGCTGTTAGGAGAGATTTACACTAATGCTATATGGTTTAAACCTCCCACACCTGCTCACTGAGGTAGCTCTGGTATTGGAACTGTCACATACAAATGAAATGGCACAAAAGTGATATCCGTTATATACTCTGTGGTTAGAAAGCTGAAATGCCATTGGCTTGACTTCTGTAAACTCTTTTTTTTAAGATTTATTTATTTTATGTATATGAGTACTCTGTAGCTGTTCTCAAACACACCAGAAGAGGGCATCAGATCCCATTACAGATGGTTGTGAGCCACCATGTGGTTGCTGGGAATTGAACTCAGGACCTCTAGAAGAGTAGACGGTGCTCTTAACCACTAAGCCATCTCTCCAGCCCTGCTGTAAACTCTGTTTGTTTGTTTGTTTGTTTGTTTGTTTTTCAAGACAGGGTTTCTCTGTGTACCCCGGGCTGTCCTGGAACTCACTCTGTAGACCAGGCTGGCCTCAAACTCAGAAATCTGCCTGCCTCTGCCTCCCAAGTGCTGGGATTAAAGGTGTGTGCCACCACTGCCCAGCACCATCTGTAAACTCTTAAACTCATCTTTCTAGATCCTGTTCCAATTCTTATACCTCCCATCAAGAGACACTAGGTCCCTCTGTGTTCCCACACGGCCCTATCTAGGTAGACTGTAAGAAATGGTCTTAAAGTGGTCACATCCTTGCCAAGGTTTCTGAGCTTTCACAAAGCCAGGGAGCAGTGCTCTGTCTGTAGCAAGCCCCTGCAATATAAGATGAGTCTTTTGAGTCATAGGGAAGAAATCCTTCTGCTCTGGATTCTAAAATGTGTCAGGATCACATAGCCTTCCCAGAGCCAGAGTTTCCCTCTCTCACAGGCTCCTGGTTGCAGAAGATTACCTTTCCCTGGAAAGCCAAGTGGCTCTGCCGACATCTTTGCCTGAGGTTTGGAAGGTGGGTGAAGACTGTACCTCAACCCAAAGAGAAGTCCAACCACATGCTCAGCTCCTGGAAACAACTCCTGATTCCTTTCAGCTCTGAGCTCCCTCCTTCCCGAAGCCTTCCCAGAATCCCTTCCCCAGGCAGTCCCTTTACTCTCTCATCATTATCCCCTATGCTGCTAGTCAGCATGCAGTAGACACTAAACAGGCATCCACTAAGAGTCCAGCACCCATATTTGGTCTTTTTTTCTTTTTTTTTTTTTTTTTGGTTTTTCGAGACAGGGTTTCTCTGTATAGCCCTGGCTGTCCTGGAACTCACTCTGTAGACCAGGCTGGCCTCGAACTCAGAAATCCGCCTGCCTCTGCCTCCCAAGTGCTGGGATTAAAGGCGTGCGCCACCAACGCCCGGCTTGGTCTTTTTTTCTAATGTCCTGACATTTTCCTCACAACCCTGAGAAGTAAGCACCCTCTACTCTGAGTTTACAGTTGTAGAAACAGGCTTAGTGAGACAGATTTAAAGGGCTCTCACCATTTACATGGAAGACGGAAGAATATATATAAGGATGAGGGTTAATCTGAAGGATACCCATCCTGAGGTCATGGGGTCCTTACCCTATAGTGAATGATGTAGACACAAATCAAATAATTGCATGAGTGCTATAGCTAAGAACTGTCAGGTATGCCGGGGGGCGGGGGGCAGGTAGGGTAACAGGATTTTTGAGAGATTTTTGAGATAGAAAGCACCAAAAGTGTGGTGGTCTAGCATGAATGAGCCAGCCTGAATGAAAGTAACAAGACAAACCAAGATCCTAAGATCTTAGGGACATTTGAGCTCTGGGTTATTCATGCTGATAGAGATGTTGTCAGAGGAGACCATATGTTGTCCAGAGGGGACAGAGTTCCTCTTGTGGTCTCTGCCTTTCTCTACCTAGCATGGCCTGCCTTAAAGAGTCAGGCAGGCTGCCTTCATCCATGAGAAAGCTAATAAAGAGAATTCCTGCCTTGTTGAGTTTGGTTTAAGTATACTTTGTCTATATTTTGAAAAGATTGGAACCATGTTACAAAACCTACAATTTAAAAAAAAAAAAGGAAAGTTTCTAATGAAGATCTTCTTTCCTTTTATTATTTTCATTAAAATTTCCTCCTTTATTTTAACCATCATATTCCAATAACATTCAAATAAAACATGTAACAAATTTCAAAATGTCCCTTAGCTTTATGTATTTTGTTTTTTTATTGGATATTTTATTTATTTACATTTCAAATGTTATTCCCTGAAGATCTTCTTCAATTCCTGTTTGTAAGATCTTCTCCTTGGAAATAACCTCCATGCTGGTGTCTTGTGTATCTTTTCAGACTTGGTCTGTGTACAGAAGAACATGCCCAATAATTGGTTTTTATATTAGGCCTTGACTTCTCTGCAGGGATCTCTAGAAACTTGTTTATAAACAGGGCATGATGACACATGCCTTTAATCTCAGGACTCAAGAGGCAGAGCCAGTTGGATCTCTGTGAGTTAGAGGCTAGCCTAGTCTACAGAGTGAGTTCCAGAACAGCCAGGAGCCAGGATTGTTACACAGAGAAACCCTGTTTCAGAAAAAGAAAGAAAGAAAGAAAGAAAGAAAGAAAGAAAGAAAGAAAGAAAGAAAGAAAGAAAGAAAGAGGGAGGGAGGGAGGGAGGGAGGGAGGGAGGGAGGGAGGGAGGGAGGAAGGAAGGAAGGAAGGAAGGAAGGAAGGAAGGAAGGAAGGAAGGAAGGAAGGAAGAGCGGAAGGAAGAGCACTAGCTGCTCTTCCAGAGGTCCTGAGTTCAATTCCCAGCAACCACATGGTGACTCACAACCATCTGTAATGGGATCTGATGCCTTCTTCTGGTGTGTCTGAAGACAGCATTCACATATATAAAATAAATAAATCTTTAAAAGAAAGAAGGAAGGAGGGAAGGAAGGAAGGAAGGAAGGAAGGAAGGAAGGAAGGAAGGAAGGAAGAAACTAATTTATAACAAACACTGGCTGCACACATGACTTTAACTGAAGTCGGCTGAGAGTTGATACAGTATCTATATCTTTGGCTAGGTCAGAGGTTCTTCAACTTAAGAGACTCTGGGGGTTTCCTGAGAACACAAGTTGCTAGATCCCCACCTCCTGTGAATCTCTGGTTTAGTAACTAGGCTGGGGCCTGTGAGTTTGTATTTATAACAAGTTCCCAGGTGATCCTGAGGGAGGCAGCTGGCTGGGGGCAGAGAGGCTGAAAGCCACCGAGCCAGCCAGTGGCAAGGCTGCAAGGAGAGACGAAGCATGAGTGTACTGGTGGCCTATTTGCCTCTCTATGGGGAGCTGGAAACACCAAACATCCTGTGGGAAAAATGGCAATGAAGAGGTGCAGTTCTTTGGAGGAAATACTTGAGAGCAGAGGTAAGGAGTGAATGGGTGTGGCTGAATGCAGGGCACAAGTCAGTGTTCCTTGCTTGTGCAATACAGGCTCAGTAAGCCAGGTAAACATGGGTGTGATCAGAAGAGGGGTCACCTTCAGTGGTAGCCTAGAAAAGGAGTCCAACCTCTAACGGTGTGCAGAGGGATAGAAGGGCCTACAAAAGAGTCTGAGAAGGACCCCTTGTTAAATAAAAGGGGGAAATCAAAGGGAAACTGAGGTGGGAGACAGTTTAACAGTGAGACTGATCTCAGAGACTAGGGAAACGATCGACTGACTCCACAGTTAATTGCTTGCTTTGCAAGTGTAAGAACCTGAACTGGGATCTCCCAGCATCCACATTAAATGTGATCCTGTGGGTACAAGTAACCTCAGAAGTGGAGAGGCAGAAACAGGAGGGCCCTGGAGCTCACTAGCCAACCAGTGTAGCCAAAAGAAAGAGCTCTAGGTTCAGTGAGAGCCCTTGTCTCCAAAAATAAGCATCAATGGAGGCAGAAGTGTGTTGGCCTAACCAACAGACTTGAACACTTTCAGGAGAGCATATGGAAATACTGAGGGAGGGAAGGAGGGGAGGAGGGAGGGAGGGAGGGAGGGAGGGAGGGAGGGAGGGAGGGAGGGAAGGAAGGAGGGAGGGAATATGAAATTAGGAAGGGTAAGAGATACCGTCAATGTAATGAATTTCATTACATTGGATCTCAAAAGACCCAACCTCTTGGTACAGCAGAGGCCTAAGACCCCTGGAGCTAGCAATTTAATGCCTGGGGATCTGAGAAATCAGATGCTCTGCTGAGGATGGAAAGGAGAGGGCTGTTCTCGGCACAGCAGAAAGAGGAAAAAGAAGGAAGATGTGGAAGAGAAGAGGTTGAACCTTGAAAAAGCTAGAACCAACAGTGTTGGAGGCGGGGGAAGGGACAGGATGGCTTTGTTAGAGCAAGGACTGAACTGGAAGTACCACTTGAACTTTGCAATCATTCCAAAGAGACTATTTTCTCCCTTTTATCGATGGGGAAACTGGGTCTCAAAAAGGCAAAAAGGACACGTGCAAGGTCTCTCATTTTACAGAACTGGACCTCAGTCGGTCGCGAGGCTGCACTTCTCTTACTGCCCAGCCGCTGTCACAGTCCTCTCTTAGAGACACTTTGCAAAGCTGCGGGACTGCAGAGGATGGGCGGGGAGGGGAGAGGAGGGGCGGGCACCCCTCCACCCTAGCTCCGCCTCTAGCGGAGCAACTAGGGCACCAGGCTGGGGGGCGCCCCCACGGCAGAGCTGGGCTGCAGCACCGAGCTTGCGGTACTGTCGGTGCTCTCTAGCGTGCGCGCAGAGGCGTCCGAGCCCATCCAGCCATGGAAGCGACAGCTGTCCTGCCTAGGTACCTCCAGTTGAGGCTGCTGCTGTTGCTGCTGCTGGTGGTTTTGCTTCGGGCTGGTCCCGTGTGGCCCGACAGTAAGGTACAGGAACCTGGCACAGCTGGGCGGTGACCGGCGCGAGGGGGCGCTATGGCTGAGGGTGCTTGCTAAGGAGGGTGCATTTAGCAGATTGTTGGGACTAGGGAAAGGAAATCACAGTTGGGACTTAGTCTGGACTCTGCTGGAATCAAAGCTTTGAGAAAGGAACATGTGTGGGAAGAAGCGCTGGTTATGATAGGGTGCTTAGGTCCTGGATCCTGAGGAAGAGGCGCTTTGGACCTTGTCACTATACTCAAATCCAGAATCAAGTTGGGAAGTCCAGATGATCTGGAGCTGGGCAGACAAGAGAAAATGGACAGTAATAGCATCTGGTTGAGAGTTTCCATGGAAGGCTGACCACATGGGGGATAGACCCAGGGGCAGTTGTTACCAAAAGACTCCCAGGCTTGCAATAGGCCTTAGACCAAGGCTTTCAGGAGAGACTGGACACCCAAAGTTTCTTCCTTAATGAATCTGGGCCGCCCACTTGCCAAGGTCACTGAGACTTGAGTTCACATACTGTATTCACCTGTCAGCTGTGCTTTACACCTCTCTCCCCCTCCTCCTTCCCTCCCTTCCCCCTCCTCCCCTCTTCTCTCACCCCCACCCCTACTCTCGTTTTTTTTTTTTTTTTTTTTTTTGAAACAGGATCTCAGTGTATAATTCTGGTTGGTCTGGATCACAACATGTAGATCAGGCTGGCCTCAAACTCACAGAGATCCTACTGCATCTGCCTCCCCAGTGCTGAGATTAAAGACATTCACCACCATCTCTTCACCTATAAGCACAGGGAGAGGGCATTGTACTCACTCTCTACCGTTGATTTCTAGACTCCGTCCGTGAGGGTATACCTGCAGAAAGCTAAGCACTATGCTTAGTAGTCACCCAATAGATGATACTATGCGCCACAGGAATCCCAAAACCCAGGATTGGATCCAGAACATAGATGGAGCAAGCACTTGAGACAGATCAAGAGCCCCTTAAGAACATTGTAGAGATGAACTGACAAAGATGGACCTGGAGCAGCAGGTTCTGAACCTCTGGGTCTCAATCCCTTAGGTCAAAAGACCTTTCTTTTCACAGGGGTTGAATATAAGATGTTTACATTACGATTCATAACGGTAGCAAAATTGTCACTATGAAGTAGCAGCAAAGCAATGTTGAGGGGTCGCCACAACACAAACTCTATTAAAGGGCCTCAGCATTGGGAGGGTTGAGAACCCCTGTCCTAGAGGGAAACTGTAGGGATCTGCTTGAAGAGGAAAAGGCAGCAGCGGCTCTTCTAAGTGTCACTCCAGTTGTTTTTGTTGTTTTAATAGAACTTGAGTCCACCTGTGAGTAGGTAAAGGGTAACAGGTATTCTTTTGCTATGCAAACTTGGAAATAATGATTGGTGTCTCTGGACTTCAGAGCCTCTATCTGAGAAATCAGTGTCCCCTTTGGCTCAGATAGCACAAGTGAGCGAAACCCCAGATAAGCACTCTCTCACCCACTGCCTATCCTCGGTGGCTCAGAAGGACATTTAGACTTGGGCATTTCTCAGCTCCGCAAAAAAGGCTATAGAGCGGGAGGGCTCACATCCAAAACAAAGCTAAGACAAAGAAAAACCCAACACCCTGTTTATGTAGTGAGTCAGCCAAACACTTGCTAGGTTGGGAAGGGGGTATATTTACTTGTCCCAGGGCAAGCTGGGGCTGGTGAATAGGGCAGAGTAAAGCAGCTGGGGACCCAGCACAACCCTCCCCCAGACACCTCCGAGGCCTGTTCCACTTCAGCCAGCTGGGAAAAATAAAAATCAAGTGATGGGTGAATTTACTCTGCATTCCTTAGCCCAGCCAGGCTCCTGCTGGCTCTGCAGAGCTGTTTTCATTATCACCATCTCTCTCTCCACAGTAATAACCCCAACTTCTTCCCCTGCAAGCCTGGCCTATTTTGTTGGGGTAGGATGGGGGGCTTGGGAGGACCGAGTTGGAACTTGAAGTGAACTCGGGGTCCTAGAGCTTTAACTTGGCCCCTCTGCAAGGCTGCTTCTTCCTGGCAGGCTGCTACCCATGATACTCACACTGGCATTCCATTGGTCTCCCTGCATTTTAAGTTGATGTTTATGGTGAGGCTCTCCCAAACAGGATTTGGAGTTTCCATCTAAGGAAGTGCTTTGTCTGACCTGAAGTAGGAGAACTCACAGCTGCCCTAGTATTTCTGCATGGCTGCCCAGCATTGGGGTTAGGGTGGACAGACAGGTAGCCCCAAGACACCATGGCAAGGCAGCAGACACTCCTGGGAAGTGATAGTGTACCAGTCTATCCATCTGAGAAAGGGCTACTCAGACCTTATTCTGTACATACATGTAGGGGTGGGAAGGGGCTTGAGCAAAGAGGGAAGACTGAGGCCTGTGGGGGAAGGCCTGAGCAAGGGAACAGAAGGAAACCAAGCAGGCCGTGGTTTCCTGGGCCAGGTCAGATGTTCCAGGCAGGCCAGTCCCAGGGGCTTAGGTGTTGTTTCAGATCTACTCCTGGAGTTTCCGCATGTGGGTGTAATTGGAAGCAGGCCCCTGAGCAGAAAAAGCAGAATGACAGAGGAATGGAGCTTTCTTCCTGGTACAGTGTCAGGCCAAGCTGCCTCAACACTCCCTTTGGAAGAATACCAAGACCAAGGTCCATGCTCAGCATCTTATATCCAACATCACATACAACTCTGCTGTCAACACTGCCAAGGGTTGGTGGTCCCGCCCAGGGCATAGATTTGAACACCCTAAAGAATCACACTGCACTTTCCAAATACAACCCCAGATAACAGCTCCCTGTGGAGCTGGAGCAACATTGGTCATCAAAGGAGGTGATACTGAAAGATTAATCCAGCATAGAGGAATACATACTGACATGTTGGTCTATGGTCATGGAGCTGACAGCTAGGTACAAAGCTGAGAAATATGGTAACATCTGGGGTTGTACTTTCTGTACCAGAAAACCTCCTTGTGAACCTGCACCACCATTATGAGAACATCCCCTTAGTCCAGCCAGACTTATCCATTTCTCTCAAAAACAAAACAACGAAACAAAAACAAAAATGTCTCAAGCTACTCACTAGCCACTGTGAGCTTTTCTTGCAAACACCCAAAGGCCTTCGAAGCACAAACCACCTCCACATCTGGGAGCTTTGGCAGGAGTGTGTGCTGGGCACAGCTGCAGGGAAAGATGGGGGCTGAGTCAGGGACTTTCCTATTTGACAGCAACTCTCAGCCTTCATGCTGAGGGACAGACACCAGAAGGTAGCCCCAGATCCCATGCCATCCTTCCAGATAGACCTCTGTTTATCCCAGCTCGATTGCTGGGTAGAAGCCTTGGCTTGGTGACTGTATGTACTCAGGGGAAGGATACCATGTAAACAACATTGATAAATCATGCTGTGCTGAGTGACCCTGGCCAAGCTTTTAGCCTTCCCTGATGTACCATGGAGTTGTGGTAAGGGTGAAGAGAGATGAAAAACAGGTAATGATGTGAGGGAGGGCTTCCAGAAGCAGCATATATATAGAGAACAGATTGCTTAAATTAGCAGTTACTTTGGGCCAGAACTGTGACAGCTGCTCTGTGTACATTGACTGTTTGCAGTTTCATTGACAAGTTCAAGAGGGGATTGATAGTCACCCCATTTTACAGAGAGGGGAGCTGAAGTTCAGAGGGGCCAAGGCCATGCAGGAAGGAGTTATAGGTGCTAAGACTATAGCCCAGACCTAGCTTTTCACTATGGTGCCTGGCCATCTCCAGCATTACCCCCACTGGAGGCAGGACCCTGCTGTTTTCCTGGCACCTGGGTCTGGGAGCAGTGGCCTTCTTCCAGCTCCTGGCAGTGTGAGAACTTTGGCCACCCCCATCAGGACATAGCACCTCATCTGAGGAGGAAGGAATGTAGCAGTCTAATGTGGAAGCAGCTGGGGGATGGGTGGGGTTAGGGTCAATAGATGGGGTTCCTCAAGGAGACTCCTCTCTCATGACTCCCTCTGGTGGGGTTCTGGGGCCAGCAGAAGCCTAGGGAATGGATAGTGTCTGAGCCTGACTGTTCACAAGCAGGGGAAAATTAGCCTGCAGCTCCCAGAGTACACTTCACCCACAGAGAACCAGGACAGAGGGCAGGACCAAAGCATCCTTTCGAACTCCACACGGCCCACTATTCCCTGGCCTCTGCACAGCTGCAGAAGAAACAGGAAATCTATAGAGCCCAGGCTCATCCTCTCCAACCCGGCATTTCATGACTTAGGGGGCTGTTTCCTCATCTGTAGGATGTTGCTAACAAAAGAAAAAAAGGAGGCCAGTACACCCACACAGAGAAACAGATAGCCAGTTCCACTTCGGGATGCTGATCCCTGTAATAGCCATTGCCCAGTGTGTTCCTGCTCTGGCTGAGTGTGGGGCTGGCACTCACTCCCACGGCCTTCTCTCAGTCCACCTGTGTCCTTGGGATTATACTAGTAGCAGGGATCTGTGCCCACAGGTGTCAGCCTAGTCAGACGAGCACAGTGAACATGGCTTGGCCGTCGACTCCAGCCAACTTAGGCCCGCCATCAAATAGCACTTGGAGAGGAGAGAGTGAACTCAGACTGTGTGGACTTCCTCTGTTTCTGCTGAACCTATGGAAGGTACAGGTTTCTGTAAAAGCGGTGGGGAAGGGGAAAGGGAGGAAAGAGAGGGCAGAGGAATGGGCTGGAGATAAGATCTACTCTTTCCGGGCACACCCTCAGTGACCTACTTCCCCAAACTGGGCCCCCTCTTGAGGTGTAGCGCCTCCCAAAAATGCCATCCAATTATGAATCCATCAGTGGATTAAGCTCACCGATGAGCTCAGAGCCTTTGTGATTTTACCTCCCAGGCTCATCAGCAGGCAATCAAGCCTCCAGCACAAGAATCTTGGGTAACATTTCAGATTTAAGCAGAAAGCTGAGCTCCTCAGCCAGCCGACTCCAGTACCGTTCCAGACGGGGCTCTGCCATGACCTAACTCCTAACCCAC